ATATATATATATATATAAATATATATATATAAATAGAGAGAGAGAGAGAGAGAGAGAGAGAGAGAGAGAGAGAGAGACCAGGATGATCTGCTGTAAAACGATCCCAATTACTCTCGCCTTTGCCAGCTTCATTCCAGGCACCTTCGACCTGCACATATTATATATATGGCCCAAAACACGAATTATATATAGGATTTGACTCAAACAAAGCTATTTTTAATTGGTCTTGGTAAAGAAAAACTATAGTAGGTGGTCCGCTGCACCGAATAATATTATAGTGGGCGAAAAAAATTGCAGCTAAATTTATGTCCAATAGATTTATGCCCCGTTTGTTTCCCATTCTTTGATCAAGAAAATGAAAAATATAACCGTTATTCATCACATCAAACCACCATATTTGACTCCTTCTTTTTTGTGTGGGTCCCGTAACGACTATATTTTTTATTTTCATTCTTATAAGAATGAGAATCAAACGAGTGCTTAGTGTAGACCGCAAAGAGACAAGTAGAAAAAAGAGAAAAGTGTGCATGCATGGCGTTTAGCATTCTAACTTTATGTGGGGAGATGGTAAGTGGTTGTCCAACTAAATTCATCCACGTTTCTTTCTTACTTTTCGTTTTCATTGAATAACATTTTCATTTTTTTTATTTTGTCCAATAAATCAAGTGTTTGTTGCACTTTTTGCCCCCGATAATTATTAGGAAGAACACATGCAATTTCAATTACATTTGCACGAGCCTTCTTACGTATACATGCATTCTCTAGATTTTTTTAACAATTCTTATTATCTTCCCATCAATATTGATAGTATGTTTAGGCCTATTCGGTAATGATTATGAGAATTGATTTTTTGATCGTTAGAGAGAAAAGTGGGTCCCATCGATACGTAAAGAAATAAAAAATGACGATTGAAATAATGAAATAAATGTTAAAAAAATGATTTTTTGGTGTGAAAAATTGCTATCGAATGGGGGCTTAATAAGGTGAATATATATGTAGAAAGTATTAACAAAGAAAAAAGAAACTAAAATCATCACCACACACAAACCTGATAAGCGGATGTTGCAGCACCAAAGATAAAACCTTTGGGAAAATCAGAGCGACGGACCTTAGATGGAGTTGGGCCTTGAGGGGTTGAGATACGGATGCCATGATTATGCAGAGGATCAACGTTGCTTTGGCTCTCCATTGCTTGATACAAATGAAAACTAATCAAGGACAGAATCAAAGAAAGAGAAATATACCTGCAAATGTAGGTATGTCACTGATTATATACTACTATTCTGGAAGAGAGGAGGGTTAAGATATGATTGGTAGTTGGAACATCCAAGGAAAGAAGATGAAAACCTCACGCTAGAACTGTCCATAAGATTATATATGCTTAGTTTATGGATTCTTAAACAAGTGTAAATCTGACTCGTTATAAAATTTTGTTTGATTAGGTTACAGCTATTAGATATATTAAGCCCCCGTTTGAATCTCATTAATTTTCATTCCATTACATTTTATTTTTCTCTCTTCTATTTTCAGTCACACAATCTTCAATAAAATAATATTACACGTAAATCAAAAACTTTTTCTTCTTTTGTAACCACTCATTTTATTAAAAAAAAAAATACTATTCCACTCATTTTCATTTACCAAGACTCATTTTCATTTACCAAAAATGGGGGCCAAACTGGGGCTAAATCTTACAAACAAAGAGAAACCAGACTCGTGCTAGAAATATTTGTTTTATTAGGTATCAGCTATTATATATATTAATTTTTTCTTAAAAATTAAACTCTTGCTCTAAAATTTTGATGTATTAGGTAGAGCTAGTAGATGTTATTATTTTTTATAGCAAACTTCGAAATATTAAGATAATTCCAACTTTAAAGGTTAATCATGTTAAAGACGAATAACTAGACAGGGTTATCGGGACAGACCCCCAAATATTTTATGAATTTTTATTTATTTATTTATCCTTCTACAAAAAAAATTACTTATAAAAATTCGGTAAAACATCTCAAAGTTTCATCATAGATTTATATATAATTATACTAGCGATAGACAAATTAAATTGACTTCTAATATAATTTTACTTTAAATGACATCTAGACATGGAAACAAAAATGGATTGTTGAATTTAATTTAACAGTGTTCTGTAACCTATTATTTTTAAAATTGCTGTTTAATAGATTTTCAATATATAAGATGAATTGTGAAGTTTGCCGTGAATAATGATATTAAGAAACTACCCTGACGAGTGAAGCAATAGCCTGAACATAATGTGAAATGGTGATGCTGAAATGGAAACCTAACAATAAAAGTCGGATTATTGGAGCATTATTGGTAGTCATGGTCGTCTCATTATCTTAAATTCTCCGTTTAAAGATGCATTGCAAAGTTTATCATGAATATTTCGACACGATCGATATCGAGAACTTATCGTGATGAATAAAAAACAAGGCTAAAAAATAAGCAGATAATTGTGACGTTAATGTGAGAATTAAAAGATAAAAAATAGAATTATTAAATTCATTTCTAACATGCATATTTAACTTGTTAATTTGAACTGAACATTATCATTTTTCAATGTATAAGATGTGTTGAGTACAAACCGAGCCCCCAATAGAAATTTCTTGGCTTCATTTATGAGATGAGTAGCTCATGTTCTTATATATTAGTTATTCAAAAGATTGATATAGAAAGTTTGCCACTAACATGAAAAAGAAAAAAAATATATATCCAGTATGGTTTGACACTAAAACAGTTTGGCGATTTTATTTAAAAAAAAAAAAAATAACAGTGTTAGGGCTTAGTATTTACCATAATATATATGTATTCAATTAATTATATTATATTAAATCATTTCAAATATAAAAACCATACAATAAATAAATAAGTAATTTTAAGTATTTATCTTTTTGTTGCGTGAAGTTAGGTGGCTATTGTCGCTTTATCTCCTGAGAAGGGAATGAAATAACTCATGTTTTAACTTTATTTTTTCCAGTTTTGGGGTAATATATCTTGGCATGAATATTTGTCTGTTTTCGTCTAGAATCTTGTTTGTTGTGACTTGAATGAAATATATACATACACACACACACATAACTCCCCCCCACTCCCCCCGGCCCCAATCTATTGTTTTATAATTGATGACACAACGTATATATTAAAAAATCAACGTAGAGTTGTGACCATGATGGCTTATAATTGAAGACAACATATATAGAAATGCACACATGAAACGTGAAAATGGCAGTCAACATTTAAATAATTTGCAACAATAGTAGTTGATGATATACAATAAATTAATGACAACAAAAGAAGTGCAAGTGGTGAAATTTAAATTTCAAAATTGATTATTTCTCAACAAACAATAATTTAGCTCTTTTATTCTTGCAGACGAATTGTTGAGTTGTTCACTCCCATTTTCATGAGATACATAGAAATATACGCATGAAACATGAAAATGGTAGTCAACAACTCAACAATTTGCACGCTCAGAAAGAGATAGATGTTGTGAATTGGTTGTTCAAAACCAACAAATTGAGCATGGAATGAAAACGGGAATGGTGGTCACAAGATTAAGCCATGCGACCACATAGGCTATTTGGCCATGCGACCGCATGGCCATAGCCTGAAACTTCAATGGGCGTTTTGGAGTGATGCGGTCACATGGTATTATTTTGCGGCCGTTAGTGACCCCTTTTTTGAACATTATAAAATTGATTTTGGTGGCATTTCTTGAGTTTTTTTTTTGGCACCAGGTCTATATATAAAGGAACCATGTTCAAGGCAAAATAAATTGGAAACACTTGAAATTCATTCCTCATTCCTCAACTTAAATCAAATCCTAGTATACATTCATATTCATTTCTCTTATTGTGTTTTTCAAATTTTGGAGAATTTCGTTTTGTACTTTGGTGAAATTCTTTACAAGGCTTGTTATAATTCTTCAAATCATTTGCCAAAGTACCATTAAATATCTCATAAAACACCAGAGAGGGGCACATAAATTTTGAGGACAGCAATCCCGCGTTTGAGCCTTCAAAATTGTTTTTGACAATTTCCTAATTTCTTCATCTTGTTGCCGAAATTTTTGTATTATTCTTTTTGTTTCTTCTCCATTCCTCCAATATTTCCAACAAGAGAGATTAAACAAAAAGTACAAATTTGTGTACTACAAGTTAATAATAACAATATGTGGGTTAATTCCCCAAATGGTCATTGAACTTTTCTAAAGTTCCCAAGTGTCACCGAACTTAAAAACTATCCCCGTTAGGCACTTTGAAAACCCCATTCATCATTGCATAAACGACGCTTGCAAAATTGTTTTTGACAATTTCCTAATTTCTTCATCTTGTTGCCGAAATTTTTGTATTATTCTTTTTGTTTCTTCTCCATTCCTCCAATATTTCCAACAAGAGAGATTAAACAAAAAGTACAAATTTGTGTACTACAAGTTAATAATAACAATATGTGGGTTAATTCCCCAAATGGTCATTGAACTTTTCTAAAGTTCCCAAGTGTCACCGAACTTAAAAACTATCCCCGTTAGGCACTTTGAAAACCCCATTCATCATTGCATAAACGACGCTTGCAAAATTGGAAAGATTTGAGACGCGTCATTATAATAAAAAGATGCCAAATCACGCATTCAATGGTCATTAAAAAAAAAAAAAAAGAACCAAATATGCATTGGATGATTTGTGAATAAAAAACAGTCACATACCTTAGATTCATGCTCAGTGTCATGATTTCGCATCTTTTATTTCAATAATGTGCCACGTAAGCCATATCGATAGACACGTCGTCAAATTCTTCCAATTTTGCAAGCATTCTTTATACAGTGAGGGATGGGAACCCAATTTTCAAAGTTAGGTGATTAACAGAGGGAATTTTTTATGTTCAGTGACCCGTGGGAACTTTAAAAAATGTTTAACCACCATTTAGGGAATTAACCTGATATGTGGATAAGCATAAAGCATATATGAAGGGACGGTGCCGCCTTTGGTCCAGTATGGACAATTGCCCACGTTGAATGTGGGGGGAAATAAAATACATGCATACATTCTTGTTTCATTTCCATTTATTTGTTTTTAAACTTAAAAATTAATGAATAATACTACTTATAAATAATAATTTAAATATAAATGATGT